AGGCGTTTTGAGAACTGATTTATAGAATTCAGAACGTGGATAAAACTTGCGTAAAAAGGATCAGAGAATTATTTGTAAAGGAAACTATGACCTTGTTCTCTCTGTGTGTCCTCAGGTAGCTCGCCAGGTTGCTACAGACCATCCAGTTTCTAAATACGTTTGCCCGGTACTCAATCACACAACTTTTTGCGCAAAGATGAAGAGGAAGAGATGAAATAGGGAGAGGGGTATAAAGGTAGGGTTGCATATCTGCATAAATCGCGCGAACGCCGGTTAAGTTCTGTTCGAGAGGAGAAAGATATTGTGCAAATTTTGTCTGATTAACGGGACGGAGTTTTGGCCGGCCCTGTCGCCAAAGGTGATCTCCATGCATTTGAAGTGAAGTGTGATACCATTTATCATGCTAATCGTTGTTTTGAGTTCACTTTATTATTTGTCTCTAGTAGTGCCCAGCAAGTGGTCTGCCAGACAAGTAATTACAAGTTAATGCAAACACCTCATCAGTTTATCAGTGTCTCAACTTTCACTTGCCTACACAAGTTAGCGCATCCGAGCTTATCAATAGATCAATCAACAGTGACGTGGCATTTACAAATCAACAAGGATCTAGACGGTATGAATACTGGCTGATAAAGTATGTTGAGCAGTTTCTCTCCACAAGTCTTCTGAGGAAGGGTTAGATCCACAAGTACTCTATCTTCGGAACGACAAGTCTCCAGCTCACTAAGGGCCACATGCATTAACATCTCCGCTGGGGAGGGGATCGCAGCTCAAAAGAAAGCTTCATATCCTGAAGCTTCAGATATGTGGATTTCAATGGAATTTGGGATGAACCACAAGTCGAAAGTTGGGGTTCATCAAAAATTCGACATTTCAAAGACTCATTTGTTCTTATCAGCAACTTGCTTAGCACTGTCAAGACAGACGAAAGTACAACTTTGGAAGGTTCTCGTCAACTTCGAAGAAAGGAAAATGACTTTGAAGAAAGGACGGTCGGCCACCGGAGATCACCGGGGGATCATACAAAAAGCTGGGAAATGCGGCTTGTACAGCTTCTTGCCACTGTTATGTTCTTAGTGAAGGACGGTGAGGATACCTTCTGATAGCTTATACGGGGTGAAATCCAGATATCTGGAGCTTCATGCTTAAGCTTACTTTTGAGCTGCGATCCCCCCTCGGAGGGGATGTTAAAGCATGCGGCCCTAAGAAGTTTTAGGGGAATCAATCCACAAGTGTCCTGAGAAGCAGCTTGAGTTAAAAAGTCTCTGGGGGCACTTGACTCTCATAGTGTTCACATCATTATTGTTTCATTTTATTGAAATAATGTTTAATTATTAGGCAGTAACAGAATTAATGCAGGTTTTCTGAATTTCGCGTTTGGATCATTATAACTTTTTACACAAATAGTCTTTTCGTGTGCAACAAGAATTGTTGTAATCAGCAAACCTTTTTCCACTCAGTATGCATTATTGTGTTGTTGTAGCTTCACTGAGAAAAATCTTATAGCCCGAATTCTGCTAAGAATTTTTTCGGAAAACCTTCACTTTGAGAAACCATAACTTACTATCAAATATAGAAAGGTAGCACAAATATAACCCACTGTGTAGTCTATGGTCGGTAGTGCAGCAGTTCTGAATTCGGAATTGAAAAAGATTTTTTTGCAAGAGGATATTTGAAAAAAAAAAGAAGAATTTCCTCATTTTTTTAAATTTTCTGAGAATTTGAAAAATCGCTTTTCTTAAACTTTTGAATTTTTTCAATGCTGAATAGGGAGAACGGCTCCCGATTTTTTCAGCCATAAATGCCTAAAATCTATTCTCCCTGCATAAAGCGGAAGCTCCGCAGTCCCTTCGCATTAAGGATTTTTATATAGGGCAGACGGACCACAGCGACCGTTGAATTTTGCTGTAAAATTTCTCGGCCCAAATGTTTTCAGAATTCATGACTCAACATGCATTTTGTAACATAGCTAGTTCAAAAATACTGTGTAACTTTGCAGCGAATTCCGAATTGTTTTTGGTGGTTTTAGAGCCAGGTATATAAAAAAAAAGAATTTCGAGGTTTGGTTTCTCAAATTCATGGGCTCAGAACTTCTAGACAAATTCACTTCCACTGAAACAAAAGAATGCATAAGAAACTAGAAGAAAAGAGCTTTCAAATAATACGCAAAACTCTCTGAGAAAGCACTTGGCCTTTCAAATCAGCATTTTGAAAAGGGTGCACGGAAATCCTGCATTAATTTTGTTACAACCTAATACAAGTAAAAGGTGATATAACGAAGTTCCACGGATCTCCCTCTCAGAGGGATCCCAGCTGGTTAGTCGCGAGGCTACGTGGGACGTCCCCAGGTGGCGGATAGGGGGCTAATCGCCGATCAAAAGCGACCCCGCGCTTGCTCTAACAAGCAAGCGGAGCCGAGCGACGGACTCCCTGCCTCCATCAAAAGCTTGCACACCTATTTCTCGGCAGGTGTGGGAAAGGCGGGCTCGGAGTTGCCTCTAACAAATAAGCTCCCACCGTCCCTCGCGGGAAATTTGAGCCCAACAAGCTGCTCCTGCGAATAATCAATCGTTAAACACAGTGATAAAATGGAAGGCTCCATTTATCTTGGAAGAGCCACTTGTAAGGCAGCGCCGTTGGGGACAAGGTTTGAGACACCACCCGCTCACGTCACGAATGATACTGGAGAACTGTTCTTAGGAACATGCGACAGCAAGGGAGTCGGCGGTGTAGGAGACCTTGTCAATACGAGTTTGGCCGTGAGCATCGATTCATTCGAACAACTCACAACCCGGATCGGACGTTTACGAATATCACGATGTCGATCAATCCCAGCCATGACGGTCTTCATAGCGTACGCCCCAACATCAAGCTACGACGAAGACGAAGTCGAGGCCTTTTATATGAACTTGGAGAAGTTCTACAGAGAGCAGCACACTTTCTACAAGGTCATCGTCGGTGACTTGCAAAGATCGGAGCAAGAGGGTCGCCTGCAGAGCTTTACATCGGGATCCATGGACTACAGTGAAACGAACAAGGGGAGAGACTGTCTGAGTTCATCATGACGACGAGGACCATCCATGGAAACTCGCAGTTTCAAAAGCCCCCTTCCCGACGCTGGACCTGGAAATCGCCCGGTGGAGAGCACCATAACGAGGTTGATCACATCATCGTCAATAGAAGGTATTGCCTGACCGATGTCGCTGTTGTTCCAAAATTCTACACGAAGTCGGACCATCGTCTCCTTCGTACCGAGTTCTACTTCTCACGAAATGGAGTAAGAGTCATTAAGTTTAGAAACACCGTCCCACGACTATCATCAACTGGGACCTGTTTTCTTCCATATCCAGCTTTTGGCGAGATACCGTGATCGACAACATCGAAAAGGAATGTGAAAAAGTTATCCAGCATCTCCAAGATTGTCCTAAGGAAGCTGAGAGCCCAAGAAGTACCAGGAAGCGTCTGTCAACGGAGACTCTACAGCTTATACGCCAAGTGGACGAGCACGAGCCATAGGCAGTTATCAGCTTACGTCTGAGCTCGCGAAGAAATGCAGAGAAGCGATAAAAGAAGATCTCAAAGAGAGAAGAGCACAAGTTATGGTTGACGCGGAGGCCGGAAGAAGCATACGCAACGCCCGCCGAAGCATCATCAATTTCAAGACCAAGATGACCGCACTCCATCGCCCTGATGGAACCACAGCAACTTCGCGAAGGTCGATGGAGAAAGTCATCCACGAGTTTCACTCGGATCTCTTTGCGAGTCACGTCTACCTACCATCATGCCACCTCAAGGAGGACGGATATGTTGCACCATCAGTTCTTCCTTCAGAGGTTCGACATGCTATCATGTCAGTGAAAAGCCGTACAGCAACCGGGCCGACAGGATCAAACCGGAACACCTAAAGAATCTCTCACCAGCTCTGGCGAGGCTCTCCACGCGGTTTCTGACGGAGGGCACGATTCCAAGTCAACGGAAGACCAGCAAGACCGGTTGCTGTACAAGAAGCGAGACCCCCGCAACATTGGAATTTATCGCCCTATCTGCTTATTGTCCACTGCCCACAAACTCTTTACACGAGTAGTGCTTAACAGAATTGGAAGAGAATCAGACGAAAGACAACCATGCAAGCAAGCTGGGTTTCGGAAAGGATTTAGCACTATGGACCACATACACACGATAATAAGGCTCATCGAAGTATCGCGAGAGTACAGGATTCGCTCTGTCTCACCTTCATCGACTTGAAGAAGGCATTTGATTCGGTTGAGACTGAGGCTGTCATCGATGCCTTGAGCAGTCACGGTATTCCAACTCAGTACATCAAGACGATTCGTAAGCTGTGCAACGACTTCACAACGAACACCCTTTTCATTTTCATTTCATTGCTTTTTCGTTCTTTCTTTTACCCCGCTTCCCTTTTTGTTGTGTAGCTCTTCGAACTTGAAGCGGGGTAGAAGAAAGAACGCGGTTGTGCTTCATGTATCCTCCAAGCCCCTCTTCCAGCCCCGTTCTTTTTCCATTTCACTGCTTTTTCGTTCTTTCTTTTACCCCGCTTCCTTTTTTGTTGGGTAGAGCTTCGAACTTGAAGCTCCTTGATATAACACTTTTATTGTTAAGAAAAAAACAGGAAACTTTAATTTTAAGTTCACGTACACCTCAAAAAAGATGTTTTCAGTACTAAAATTACGAAGTGATAGGTAGCAACATACGAAATCTGAAAGATTCAATGAAAAAAAAGGCAGTTTATCTTCAGGATCTGAAAATTTTGATGAGAACCGGCAATGAACTGAGATCGGGAAGCTTCAACGAGGTATCAGGCAAAAGAGATATACAGACTAATCCGAAAGCCCCCGAATTTTTGGATTAGTATGAACGCAGCCTAAACAGTGACATATCTACAGACTGTACATTCGCTCTTGGTTTCAGACTTCTTCACGACGCCCTTCGAATTCCATTTTTACAGTGTGACCACAGACGCCAGCGCGGCTACCAGCTTGTGTTCACTCACCACGTCCCGTAGCTTGTCCATCAAATCCTGCCATTCTCGTGCGATCACAAATCTCTTCTTCACGACCCATAACTTCGACGTCCTCGGGAAATCCGTATCTTCCACTATGACCAACAGGTTCCTCGCCACGTTCGGAGACACCATAAGCGTCTGCTCCCGTTGTAAGCACATTGAACAAAAGCTGCATTTCCTCGTCCGCTATGGCTTTTGGAAGATCATTTGAAGCCGCTCCAGCGAAAGCTCCTGCAAACTCCTCGTCAGAAACTTGTACGCAGCTTATAATGCAACTCACCGAAGGTGCTGTACTTGCTGCTGACAGATTCAACGTCCTCGCTCAAGCGGTCCCAGACAGCGTTGGTTGCGCTCCTTACTGCGTTCAATTCTGAGATAATTTGTTACAATATCGATTTCTACCATGCGGAACTCACCATCTTCAGCAAGCAATTTGTTTCTCTTCCTTGACGAGCCATTGCTGGAGGTTCTTGCCACACTTGATGGTTGTGAAGACTGAGCTAAAAAGTGCTGAGCTAGTTATAATGAGCTTAGGATTTATGAAAGAGACTCAGACTTTCGCTGACTACAGAGCCGCTTTCCAACTCTGATCACCACCAATATTCAGGTTCGACATACGCTAAAAATTGAGAGTATGTGCTTCTTTTCAACCCAAACCGCACTTAACCTTTCAGAGGGAGCTGCAGCGTTGTCCATAAGAGAAGGTTTCCTTACAAGTGGGTCAGCAGTTTGTGCAGTTGAGCCAGAGTACTTGATTTTGAAACGGTTATAGTGCTGCTTCATCCCTTTCCACATCCTTCTCAAATGCTCAACTGCAAAGATGATAATCCCATATGTTATTATAGCAGCGTACACAGCGCACTCTTACCACATTAACTCACTATCTTTTGTAGATCCTCTTTTTGTCATTTTCTCATACATTCTAGCACATGCTGCCATACGCAATAGATTTAGATGTTCATCAACGCCACCCAATCTTTGAGGTTTCTCAGGGTCTGCTTGACCTCTTGTTTCACTGATTCGCAAGAATGAAACGGGGACAGCCCTGAGCTGGCTCAAAGATATCAAGGACCTGATTTGGGGCATTTGATATCCATCAGAGTGGGATGTCTGCATCAAGAATAGCTTCAATCCTCGCTGTATTCTCAAATAACCCAAACATTACAGCCACATTCAGAGATTGGATATGTTGGAAACAAAAGCATATAAAAGAACAATAATAAGTTGCGTGGTAAAACTTACCGAGAAAGGCCATCAGAACCCGATTCTGGAATCAAAGAGCGTGAGACCTTGTCGCTTAAGACTAAAAAAAGGAAAGTCTTTGAATTACCATCAGTGAAGTGTCACCGTCAAGTTCAATCAGATGTTCTCTCCAGGTTTCTGAAAGTGTTTATTTTTTAAGGGATGGCTGTGTTCGTATTAATCCTGAAGTGGGAGCGGTTCTAGCATAGCGCTCGAACTGAGCGCTGTGCTAGAACCGTTCCTGAACTTGAGGATTAGTATGAACACAGTCTATGATTTGACATTGGAAGCCGGCAAGAATAAGAGCGGTAAACATCAAGACAATGCGTACACCATAAGCGACGATTGTTTGGTGTCAACATAGTTCTGGTACCCGTAAGCATTGAGAATATACATGACTATAACAGGTGCTATAGACTGAGCAGGTTTGACAACTAATGCACTCAAATTAAAATACCAGTAATAACCTCGATTTGCGCGAATGTCGTTTCGCGTCGTCATCTATGAAGTCCGCAATGATGATGTTGAAAAGCGGTGTTGCAGAGTACCGTTATGCTGTCGATTACCATAAAAATCATGATAAAGTATGGATTAGTAGCGAAAACGAATACCAGTTCAGAAAAAAGGGAATTGCATAAGTTGTCAACAAAATCCGACTCCAAATATTGAGAGGCGGTCGTCCACAGTTAGCAATATCTGAGGCGCAAGTGTTAGGATACAGTAGAATAAACTCAGCCGAAGGCTATGGCTGAGTTTCTCGGTGATAGCGACAATGTTAACCGAAGCAAGTGTAGCAATCTGACTATACTTCATGGCTCAAGACGAAGCCGAGGTTTTTTGGTTGGATCAGCGAAGAGAATTTCCCAGGGCACTGAAAAAGGCGTCGTACACAAACAGCAGAAGATGAGATGCATGCCTTTAAGAGCTGAAGCTCCCACCATGCCACCCACATAGATACGAACGAAATGCCAAAAAATGGCGCAAATAAGCGTTCGCGAATTCAAGATCCTTGTTTGTCACAACGGGTCAGTGACTGCTTCCGAAACATGAACAGTGTTTGAGCAATGTTGAATCATACATGAGGGACGTAAAAGATGTTCAAATAACCTCGAGTCATTTGTAACCACCATGTGAGACTGCACAAAAAGACCTAATGGCGACGGCACCCTTACTGGTAACTTTCCATTGAAACATTTTCTAGCCTAACAAAGTGTGGTGATGTGTTCTGTTGACTAACATGTAATCAACAAAAACAAAAGAGACAAGCAAGCAGAAATCACTGTGAGCAGGTTCTAGTTTTGCCGTCCGTCAGTTAGCGTATTTAGTGTGCACTACGCATATTAAGTTACGAATGACTCGACGATACATCTCCTTGTTGAACGCCTGTGCGACTCGGTATCAAGACTATCAACTCGGTAGATCTACACAAGAAGAGAAGCGACGTAAAAAAAACGAAAAAGCAATGAAGAAAAAGAAAAGGGGTGGGAAGACACATGAAGCACAACCGCGTTCTTTCTTCTACACCGCTTCAAGTTCGAAGCGCTACACAATAAAAAGAGAAGCGGGGAAAAAGAAAGAACGAAAATACAATGAAACGGAAAAAGAACGGGGGCTGGGAGCCCAAAAGTGGAACTCACCAACAGATTGATGAGAATTTCTGCTCTTCTGTACTTTTTTGCTCTTCTTCAAGATAAATGCCTGCGAAAATATCGCAGCGGCCTCCTGGAAACAAATGGAGTTTTGTGCACGAATGAAACGAAAACACGATGAACGGTGAAACACGCGGAACAACACACATAATCGGACACACAGAGCAGAACAGCGCTAATTCCTCAACTTTAGTTCGAGTTCGAAGTTCTGCTGATAGAAAAGGGAAGCGTGGAGATAAATAAGGCTCAAATGAGAGAAATATGGAAGAAAAATTGTTGAAAACCGTCAAAATACTCCAACTCCCGCCGTTCACAACGCGTGCGGGCAGTTGCAGCGCATGCAGCACAGTTCCGGCACAGTTCGAGCACAGTTCGAGCGCTGTGCTGGAACTGTGCCGCAATGTGCGACTCAGCATGAACCCAGATTTAGCACGACTATGCTTGCGCTAGGGTTTAACCGTGGCGGTAGCTTGGGCACAGTAACCCGATAATTCGCCTCCGGCTTTTCAGGATGGAAAAGACCTCAAGGAAGCTAACCGGCATGAGTCAACACTATAACTCTTCGACTTTTAATTAGGCTTCGATGTTTTATTTATTGCTGATCGAGCTTGCTGTATTTCTTCACGACCGACCTAATTCCCCAGGACTGAGAATCTATCGGGCAGCTCATGTTTCTTCTACGAGTCTTCTTTTCTTAAAATGCACTCCATTTATCTTCAATTTCTTTGCATGGAGAGAGAGACGATGTGACGCAAGTGTTTAGCTTCGTTGTTTCAGTTGTGGCGGTCGTTTCAAGGAAAGAAACCATTATCCGCCAGAATCCAGCGCTGATCTTAGCTACAGTACCTGGCCAACGCGGCTAAAAAAGGCAATCCGCTTTCCTCTTACTTTTCCTTTAGCGTTTAATCTTGCTCAACACATCACAATGCCACCTTGCAGCTACCATTGCGACATTGTGCGCAGAATCCCTTTCGTTGTGGCACACTGTTGAAAGTTAGTTCGTCTTTGATGAACTCTTAGCGTACCAATACTCACATGCCTGCTTAGTGATACCATGTTTTTGCTGAATATTTTATAGAATGTTTTAAGAACGATACTCTAGCAATTTTATGATATAGCCATGAAGTTTGAAGGCTCATTAGGTGAAATTATCAAAGGAATTTCTGTTTCATATCTTCCAACTTGTCATATGCTCATGTAAGGGAATGAATATGTCGAACTTATGATGGTTCCAGTTTAGAATCATACTCGTAAAAACCACAAATGCGCTAACATACTTCTTTGTCCTGCACCAACATAATCAATGTTGACCGCAATGGTTCATATCTAACAGCATACACACGATATCGACTAGTAAATGGAATGCAAACTTTTCATGGGTTGAAGTTGTGTAGTTGTTAGCATGTTAATTAGACGCTCTTATGATGGATAAGCAACACGAAAGGTAGAGTTAGAGGCAACCGGGTTGCCTTTTTTGGCCGCGTGGGCGGGGTACTGTTGCTAAGGACAGTGCCGTATTCCGACGTACAATGGTTTCTTTCTACGCAGCAGCTTCTGACTTTTCTATTACCGCTTTCAGGTTCCTTCAAGTCAGAAGCTGCTGCGTAGAAAGAAACCATTGTACGTCGGAATACGGCACTGTCCTTAGCAACAGTACCCCGCCCACGCGGCCAAAAAAGGCAACCCGGTTGCCTCTAACTCTACCTTTCGTGTTGCTTATCCATCATAAGAGCGTTTATATAGTCTCGAGATTGAACTTCATCTCAGGTAATTACAGGGGGGGGGGGGGGCAAAAGTCTGGGAGCCTACTATGCAGTGCTGTAAATCAAGAAACTACTGATGATTTTGACTCCAAATTTGCGCCACATATTGCTGCGACCATCCTCTACAAATCACACTTTGGTTGGCTGAAAATGCTTGCCATATGTTTTTGTAGGAGTTAGATTTATCAAACAAGTGCTCTGCAAAACGAGAAAATCGAAATTTTTTGGTCTTCATAACTTATTTCGTAACTAAAGATACAGTGGATATTCTAGAACATTTCGATGCACATAATGTAGAGGAGACGTCGCGCTATCAATTCTTAGCCGTTGCGTTCGTCAGATACTATTCTTTTGAAAATGCAAAATAAAAATTTGTGAATACTACCTGGTGCCAACGGCCATTTTTCTTTAAAATAAATTTTAAAGTATAGGAGCACAGCAGGCACTGAATTGTAGTCTATATTCTTTCCATAAGTCTTCTGTGCAAGCATGTACTTAAGTTCGATCGATCAAGCAATTTCAGTATTTTTCAGATTACGATTCTTCGCTCCCGTTCGAGCAGTCGCAACCAGATTTCCAGTATACGAGTACACTTGCCTTCAATTAAAATTCTAAATTTTTTTTCCTAAAGTTGCGAAAAAAATTTCTTTGCAGTGCGTTGTAGCTAAAAGCTTGCTCTATCACACCGCATATTTGCCTGATGAAATAAACAGTTATCGTAAAGGCGTAAGACGAATTTCATCACAACTGTCTGCGTGCCACGACAGACGGACTCGCCAAGATTTCAAAGGGTTGCTTTGAAGCCAGAAGAGGCAATCTCAAAATTTGAAAGCAGCGCTGTATTAGTAAAGGTTCGATTTATGTGTGCACCGAATTTTTTGTTCCTAGGCACTTTCCTTCGGATTTTATCTGAAAAAGTACTAGGCTCCCAGACTTTTGCCCCACCCTGTATTATAGCAAACCGTTTGAATGTAAATAAACATCAGTAGACGCTAATTTTATACTGATCAGTACATTTGAGGTAAGACATAACCTCACACAACCCCTCGAAGTGAATTTTGACCCCAAGATTCATTGTTGAATAAGTGCATAAGTTGCTCACCAACTAGCTTATGCGTTTTTTGGCGATAGTCATCAAATTCACAATTTTGAAAATTGCTTTTTTTATGCGTTTGAAGTGATAGTAATTGAAAAGCGCGAAGATTAATTCTTCGTTAGAAGGAATCTAAGCCACAAGGAAATGAATTAAGTTTCAAAAATGAATTGATTCGTAAAATCTGAATAAGATACAATTTCTCAGTTTTAGACTCTTTTCCTTATCATACTGGTCCCTAACAGCACTGCATCTTTCCTTCTGTAGAGTACCTAAAGCATGCATCTGGTCTTCAAATGACGACATCTGATCACCACCTCAATAATTTAGATCCTGATGGCAGCACAGCTGTCGCAACAACGAGCAGTAATGCTCATCAACATGATATCGCTCGAACTGCTTTTGAAGAAGTGGCAAATGAGCAGCAGATGAGCAGACATCATTCATACTCATAGAGAAATTAGAGGTTATGTTCTTCGTTTGCCCCTCATCAGCAAGCAGTAATCAAGGTAGTTTTCTCCAGCAAGCAGAAGTCAGCTCAGGCGATATCAAAAGATTGAAGAAAGCTGGATTCAACACTGTCGAGCGGATAGCTCATGTCATGCGCAACGAAATCTCATCTGTTATATTTATCTTTACCTTTATCTCATACACAGTTTTCTCATACTCACACAGGCTTTGGCACACGTAAACGTGTGCCAAAGCCTGTGTGGTCTTCTTTCTATGTTTTCGGCTCAGACATTCTGATTTATCCTAGTTCCGGCACCTCCAAGAACTCGAAACCATTTAGATATTGGTGAGTATCGCACAGGCAAAAGCCAGCTTTGCCATATTTGTTGGTCATTTATCATTTGCCTATCTCGATGGGAGGTGCAAAAGGTATGTTGGCTTGAGATCTTCTCTGATTACAGTTTGTTGCATACAATGTGCTGAAATCTCTAGGGTTGATTGTTCGTAGGAAAATGCATGTAGACTGATACTGAGGGAACATTCCGACCAAAATGATTGGTATCAATTGTTGAGCGGTAATTATTTTTCGCACGTTATACTTGAACCACTACTGTGACCTTATAGATTAAATATGGATAGCAAGCATGTGCTGGAAAATATAGCTGTAGCTAGACGCTATAACTCAGATCCCAAATCCTTATTGATAACTGCAGAAGGCCCATCTGACAGCACACAAATACAGTGATTAAATGTTGACTAAGAAAACATATGTTATGAATTTTGCTATCAGTTATGTCACTTTTGCAGCAACCGTGATGGCTGAGAGTCGATATGCCCTACTTATCGTGGATAGCGCGACCGGATTTGGGAGATGTTTATTTCTTCATTGCCCTATGCATAAATCTTCACCTATTTTAGGAGTGATTATTGTAGCCGAGGAGAGTCAGCAGCGAGGCAAATGGCTTTCTCTAAGCAGGTGCAGATCATTTCTTGCAACATCTTGCACGTTTTATTTCTTTGACTAGCTGGCTTGCCTGGCTCCGCGCGGCCCTGTCGAAACACTATGATGAAGCTCTCATCCGTATCCCTGTAAAACCTTTCCTTGTGCTCACGTCTACATGCCATTTCCCCATTCCCGCTATTTTAGTAAATAGCTTGGTCGATTACCCCTGTGCCAACTCCCGCGTAGCTTAAACTTTGCAAAAAGTCGATAAAATCGATAGAAGTGGCGAATATTTTCAAAAACTAAAATTGTATTCGTAATCGGCATGCTCGATTACCCCCTGAGCCAACTCCCAGCCCCGCAGCTCAAACTTTGCAAAAATCGATAAAAATCGATAAATTCGATATCGATCGATGACAAAGTAGCCTACCACACCCTCCCCGCCCTGAAGTGTATGTGTGCCAAGTTTGGTCTGGATCGCTTCAGAAATGGACTTTTCTATTCGGAACATACGTACAGACAGACAAACAGGCAGGCATACAGACAGACAGACAAACATACATTCAGCCATATATAAGAATATTTGTTTTCAAAGCTCGTGTTTATTGTGACCGGCACTAAACCGAATAAGGAGTGTTAGGATAAAATAACGTTATTCTGATTCATTTTCTAACAGAAACGGTTCGGAGTATCGGATACTGAAGTCTTTGCAAATGTTGCGACTGCTCATCAAACTTGTCGACGAGTTCGGCGTTACTGTAGTGATAATGAATCAGGTAACCTCTCCTAAAAATAGCGATTGATAACATCAATTTATGTAAATATTTGCAGGTAGTTGCCCAAGTTGATGGAAGTGCAATGTTCCAAATGGATGCTGAGAAAAGTATAAGAAGAAACATCATTGTTCACATGAGCACAACAAGGTTGGTCAACACAATTTTTCTCCTTTTATGGAAGTATTCGAATACCTGTTCGAACGCTTCATTCTTGTATGAGTATGCCTAGATTGCATAATGCACATACTCTTCCTCCCATTATAAGAAGGATGAACCACCAGGAGATCTCAGATGAATGATTATTCAGGCTGGGTTGCGTAAAGGTCGAGGCGACACGAGGATTTGCAAATTATGAAGTCCTAGCCTACCGAATCAGAAGCAACCTTTGCCATCACCACCAACGGGACAGAGATGCTCCTGAATGATACTTTTTGATAACTGCATGTGTTCTTTCAAAGCAAGTCACGTATCTAGAGTAGAGGCACAGATCTTTAACCCGACTGTACAAGTGGTGTTCATTGATGAGGGCCAATTCTAAGTTTGTTTTCATGTTCGTTTCTCGATGATGACTGCGTTCTAGGATGAGTTCATTATCTCGACATCATCTCGTTTCAGTTCAGTGATTGTCCAAAAGTATGCAACCGCTTGGCAAATACGGGAAAAGTGGTTATGTTGCAGTACTGAACGGCACATTTGAACGCAATGCCAGGTGAAATTCTCCACGCGAAAGTGACCGATGTGCACGTCTCAATCTGCATTATCCCCACTTAGGATCAAGCATGAAGTGCACCGTTTGCTTTATGAACGATGAGAAGAAGCATGTTGGTTGAAAACTCGGCCGTCCCTTGTGAACCTTTTCACTACGTTTAAGTATCAATCTCTCAGGCAGTTTGTCATGACAGCAATGTCGCGGCTGTATTTTCTGCATTAGGGGGAGAACTGAGCAAATCTTCTCTTCCAGAATAGAAATCGGAGAAGTCAAAGTTGGATCTGTAAGTTCAATGCGTACTTGCTGCTCGGAGAACTCAAATAACTTTTGGAATGCTTCAACTATAGGATCCCTCGCATTCAATCTGGTCTGACACACTTAATATTTTTTAAATCCCTCAAAGGAGTTTTTCTAATAAGGATTGAAAGTGAATTGTCTCTGCGCTAGGAAGTATTATTGCTACTGTTCACTGCAGTCGTGTGCTGTGCACGGGTCGGGTCCAGGGCTAAGCACGAAGTGGCTTTTCCACTCTTTCAAAAACGAAGTCCCCGTAGACTTCGCCACAAGAATGCGACATCACCTATGACGCGACCATGAATGGATAAAAACGAATAACGAGAAAAATGGAACAAAACATAAAGAAAACATTGAACAGACCGAAAAGAACTGAAAATGCTCGTATCCTCCAAATGGGCGGCATGCTGTGTCCGGCGCGCACCCTTGCGCGCTTGGACAGGCTTGCCGCTGCCATACAAAATGTTTGGAGGGCTGTAACCAAGCGGGGAAGAATTTTAGGGAGATTCAAAACTCAGTTATAGGGTTTTTGATGTAGAACAAAGTTATATCAAACATGTGAAAAAATTATGTGAATTTAGAGAAATTTATGACTTTTTCTTTTCACAGCCACTTCAGGTGGCTGTCTAGATGGCTGGAAAGCCACATAACTCCGAAAAAAGTTTGCCACGCCTTCAGTTCACATAATTTTTTTCATAACTTTTCGCACATAGTCCTAACTCCCTATTGCCCATCTACAAATCAATTTGTGTCATTTCATTCTCTCTTCGATGTAAGCAAAGTCTTTTGTTTATTTCGGGACAAGTTTGAATTCGCGCGCTTACCCGGCGAACCTTCTGAAACAGAAAATTTTTGGTTTTTGCAGGAATGGGATCGATAAGGCAGGAATAACAATTTGCGTCCTCTGTAGAAGACGAAGGGTGACATAAAGGAAGAAGGCGACTGTGTGTAGGGGGGGGGGGGAGTTCGCTTAAATGATATCCCCTTTGCTTTTTATCCCGAAACGATATCCAGCTTGCCTTGTAAGCCACCTGTGCCGAGCCCTGGTCGGATTAAGTCGAAGAGTATAGTCCAGACCGTTGTCCGAAGCGCTTATCCCAAACTTTTCTCGTGATGAGTGGCATTAGAGCCCGCTTTCTTCTTGTACTCAAAACTTTTGTTGTTGCACTCCGACCCGGTGTACTACGTTTCTTGACTTTTTGCTCAGAAAGATTTCGTGCTTTCTTCTAAATTATTTTGGTTTCTTTTGGCTTTTGTTCAACTGGGGCGTGCTTTACTGCCTGTAGTCGAAATTTTGCTTCTCATGCTCATGATCGCCTACATATGAATAACTCGTAGCGAAGTCGCGATGGCACCAACATGCCCTAATCATGATTTGCGCTCTAAATTCAGCGCTGGGTTGCTGTATATCTTCCGTCTCTCGAAATCCTTGTGTAATGGAAAGGCGGCCAGTAGTGCCCGCCGTCGCCCCTTGACCCCGCCCCCATGGGGTTTTTAAGGGTTGAGCCAGAGTGCACAGCGTACGGGGTTACGTGACGCACGCAGCGTACGCTCGGTATATTTCATCATAGGAGCGTGCGCGGCGTACGCTTTTCCAGCGCAGTCTGGCCCAACCCTAAGGCGGCGGGCTCTGAGGTCGCCTCATTTCAAGCTCATACTCAACGATGGAAGGTGTAAGGGTGAAAATCGTCGATTTGTTTTCCTGTATCGGCATCATTGATGGCGAATTCCTCGTGTTCAATGAAGAGAAGATCCACAAAATTCTTCGTGAAAGAAGACCGAAAAAGCCGAGGGCCTTCGGGAGTCGGCAATCGCACTTGGAAGACACAAACGTGCCCCTTGCCAAAAGGCGGTAAGTTGGTTGGATCACTTCTATTGATTGATTAAATTTTGATTTGCAGGTATTCTCCTCCTCAACCACGCGCAACCAAACCGCCACCGCTGAAGGTCACCAGCAGCTCTTCTACTCAACCAGGGAGTGGCAATATCGCTAGCACATCAAGGACGGACGACGAAGTGGAGCGCATTGTAAAAATGTCACAGCCGCTCTTATGAAGAAGGAAAAGCCCGCCAAGGTAAATGAAGACCATTCGGATGCGATTTTCGATATTGAATAGACTCGAACCGTTTGTTCAATGCAAGTTGTCATGTTTCAATTTTGATGCTGTTAATAAAAAATCTGTTGATGTGTAAAACAACGACAAACCAAGTTTAAGTGGAATGTATCGTTGGGCGGGGGGGGGGTCCCCCCTCTCTCGGTGCGCCATTGGTTGCTGACTATGCTTGAGTAGAAGCGATGTCATTTGCAACAAATGAAAAAATCTTGGTTCGTGTTTCCCCCTTATTCTGTATACCTAAGGAAAATCATTAGTGCTGCGGTGACTGTAATGTCAATTAGAAATGACAACTTCTTCTATAGCAGCTCGAAAAGAAGCTGCTACACGTTGACTTGAAATTGTTGAAGCTGATCGTGAAGGATTGGATGGATATCGGAGCAACCTCTAGTGACGTGATTATAATAGAAATCATCAAGAGAAAGGAAATCCTCTTCGATCTAAGTGGAATCCGAAATCCCGAGGCAAGTAGAAGGAGAGCTCAAGCGTGGAAGGAAGTGCAGGATGCGCTACTTTTTCAATGCAAAAAGCTACTCAGTTGATCAAATAAAGAGAGTATGGCGCAACAGGAAAGCGCATGTCCGTGAGGTAATCTCAAAGAAGCAAAGGTAGATTATGCCGACTTTTCGAGCTTGACGCCTATAAAGAGCCTTTCAGATACGGAAACTGCACAGGGGGGGGGGGCAGTGCTGTTACGCAATTTTAAGAGCTGTTTTTTCCTTGATTGAAGGCGAACGGATGTTGGCGAGAACGCTGAGGAGGGAGGCTATTATGGCGGCATTGGGCAAAATAGAAACACGTAAATAGGTAAAACTTTGCTTTGTTCTGTATACAGTATAAACATATAGGTTATCTAGGTAAAGGCTAGTGCATATCTAGAAGAAGGGCAGGGGAATAAAGAAACTTGAAGTTTAATGCACTCAAGGTTCAAATCTATCAATGGTATGTTAACAATATGTACTCATTCTTTATAGAGGCATATATTACAATACTGTGAATGCGATATCTTCGGCGAACATAGGGTGGGTGAGAGGACTGAAGGGCATAGATAGGAGGAGGATGGAGGGTGGGTAGGAAGGGACTTCCGAAGCAGTTTGAAAACAACGAGAATCGACGCTGAAGAGGATAATCATGGCTTGATGTCGTACCTCGCATATACTTGAACTTTTCAAAACGAACACGGCAGAATAGTAAGAGTATTTTTTACTCCTCTGGCACGGATAGACCGGAGGGAAGGCGGGTTGGAGGGCGGGCTGAAGCAAGCAGATATGAGGAGGATGGAGGGTACGAAAGAGGGAATTCCTCTTCCCCGCCACTGATCTCAGACGCTGAGCTGCGAGCTGTCTTATTCAAGCGTAAGAACAATTAGATGATGTGGTGCTACTATCACTTTGATTAATACTATAAAATATATTTTAGTTTGACTCCGACGTCTCATCAATATCGTTTTCGTTCAAAAACGGCGTAGAGTGTCAGAGATAGAAACTACTCGCCTTTAAATGGAGATTTTGAAAGTGGGTTTTGAAAATGAAGATCGCAACAGATTCTTGGTTTTAGGAGGAGAAGGCTCTAGTGGAGAAAAAATACTGGTACTGGACAGGCAAGTGCAGCTGCAGGTCTTTGTTAAAATCAAGGAGCTTGTTAGCGAGGCATTGCACGTCTTGCGTGGAAATATCGGACCGAAGAGACCAATGGAGAAACGAGAAGCAGTGTGGAATGCAACGGCAGGCGATCCTAACGTTTCTGAGTCTCTAGACTCACGTGTTCTTGGATTTAAGGGTTATATTGATAGAGAGTAGCATTGTTCGTCGTTTCTGTTACTACTGTTTTATTTATTCTTGTCGCATAAAATCCTTGATCAGAGAATATTGTGTTCCGCAGTCCTTACAATCTAACAACTTCTACAAAATGCTTGCGAGATGCGAAAACTATTGAATTAACTAATTAATGGTCTGATTTTACATGCATTTAAAACTCATTAGTAATTCACATAGTAGCTTTTCATTCGAGTATATTTGTGAGAAGGTAGCCTCAGGTCTATGGGTTGAGCTAGACTTCGCTGAGAAAGCGGCGTACGCAGCTTACGCTCGGAATATTTCATCATAGGAGCGGACGCGGCGTACGCTCGTACGCCACTTTCCCAGCGAAGTATAGCTCAACCCTATCAAATATCAAGAGTCATTTTTCTGTCATCAAAAATGACAGTTATGCCCTTATATGATCATACTTGTAAGAATTTGCTTATTTGACTTTTTAATTTCGTCCTGGATTGAGCGCACAGGCGAGTGAATTGGTGGTTGAATACACACAACCTTTGACTAGATGGCGAACCACAATGAAGGCTTTGACTTGCGTTGTTTGTGAATTCTGCAGCCAAAATTGTGAAAATTTTCAAGCATTTGCGCGTAAAAGTCAAAGTTTAGCCATCTCGAATTGTTCGAATTTGGCCATCTAAGGCGGTGCTATTGCCTGAAAATTTGAAAATTTGTTGTACAAGTACCGAATCTCATTTAATACTAGAATTCTAAGTTTTTTAGCCAACCTAATACTTGTTAGTCATCGCGCGGACTTGCCTTTATCGCAGGATTTCATTTCATGCAAGGCACATGCATTGCAATTGTCTATCACCAAATAGGTTCGTATTTTGTCTCCAATGAACGAGATTACTGACACGGTGCTGACGCCGGCGCAAGTTATTGATTGGTTGCACTTGTCTATAGAAATGCTTATTTTGTTGACAGGAAAACAAACAAACGGAAACGCGGTTTCAAAGATATACTTAAAAGGCAAAGGCTATGTGAACAAATCTGTGGCAATAAGAATCAAAATTATATTCTTGCACCAGCACAGCATTGGCATTAAATACTAAACTTTTCAATTCTTTTGCCACCACTCTTTTGTTTCCAAGGTCCTCTTCTCTTTGTAAGTATTCATTGCAGGTTCTACGATGCTGGAGTAAACGACTTATTGTCGAATATTCAATCTACCTCCTATGTAAAGCTGTTTCTTTAGGCAAAAAAGGTGATAAACGGCGTTTTGTCTTTCATTCATTTCCAGGCTATTCTTTTACGCTAGTTGATCGATTTCGTAGAAAACAAAGTCTCTTTGAATTTGTCTTTAGTTTTGAAGCTATGCTACTTCCATCAAGGAGTCATCGGGTTGCGGACTTTCCTTGAATGTAAGTGTGAACTTGTTGGAACTTCATGCAGCGTTGTTTTTCGTACTCTCTCGTTAATTTTATCATTAAAATCAAGGAAAGCCCGCAACCCGCCTCCGCACAAGAGCTCGGAGCTGGGAGCACTAAATTGTTTGCGAAACGCTGTTTTTTTTTGCACAGCTTTCGTTTTGATGATATTGCTCTGCTGTGTGGTTGCGCAGGCAAGGTTTTTCGATGCCTTTTCCGATTTGAGGTTGGTCTACTATGCTGAGTGGACGATATCGTCGCAAAACGCTGTTTTTTGCACTTTCTAATTTTAAAGCTACTTTACTATGTTTGAAGGTACACTTACTGATCTAAGTTACGTAGTGTAGTTACGATCCTACGGCATGATGGAATAACTTCAAAAACAAGGAAAGTACAATTGCAACTGGCTCATCCAGCATAGTAAACCAGTTCCAAAACGAGAAAGACGTCGAACAGGTCTTGCCTTGCAATAGCTTCACAGCGGGATTTAGAGTGAAAGGGTGTCACTCAACAATAAATCGATTTTTCCAGCAGTAGACAACCGAAAAAACAAAATCCAGATCAAACGAACCATATCTGCAATCAATTACTACAGCAAAGAAGAGAACTTTGGAAATAAAAGAGTGATGACAAACGAATCGAAAAGCCTAGTATCTAGTGCCAATAGGCTCTCGCTGCGCTCCAAGGACAAAATCTGACACAGTGCGCTTCAGCTACGATAGCGGCAACCGGCGGAAAGCAGCTACCGGCTGCAAAAGCGACAACCGGCGCGGTCTCGGCGCGGTCTGGAGGCTCCCTATGACGTGTCTCGTGTCTCGAAATAAACACCACATCCATCCAACACTTTCACATATGCGCCTGTTTGTCGTTTGTCCTGCGTCTGTCTTCCGCGCATACGTTCTTTACTCGGCTATCTAAAAGAAGACTGTCATCAACCGATCAGCGAGTGTTGTAGTATCTAGTATAAGTTTTGTTATAGTATTTAGTTTCAACTTCGTTTTATGCTCAAATTCGAAGTACATGAAACACTGACTTCGCGAGAAAAAGAATGCTAGCTTGGTGACAAATGAATGCAATGAGGAAAAATGTTTGCGCATTCCGCTCTGACAAGTGCCAAAACAGAAGAATTCCTTCATGATAACACGCACTGACCCTTAAAGGAGTAGCATAAGCCCAATATATTGGGTTGTTCCAAAAGTTCTACCCGTTTTTGAACTTTAGTTTTGATTCACCGTAACTTTTCTCAGAAATAATCTTTGCAATAGCTTTAAACTGTGTTACAATCTGCAAATCTTTAGCTATTCTGCGCACTCTTTAAGATTATTGAAGTAACACTGGAGAAGATTTTATAAGCGGAAACCGAGGAACATCTCCTTGCAGAAACCTTCACCTTGCAAAAGCATAACTTGATTTGGAATATAGCTGAGCTGCACATACACTGCACACAGTGTAGCCCATAGTCGACTGAGCAGTACCGCTAACTTTGGATTTCATCAAACTCTTTCATAAAATTTTTGTATTGAAAAAACCGAAAGGACCCACTTTTATTTGTTCTTTGTGAGGCGGCAAAAAATGCAATTTTTTGACATTTTTGATTTTGTTCGCCGTTGACAAACCAGGAAAATCTTTTCGTCCTTCTATTAGCAGTTGTTCTAGCTCTAATCTTACTATATAGAGTAAAAGTTCTGCGATTGCGATATGTTAATAATTTTTAGGCGACTTGAAGAGACCATCAAGACTGCTTATGTTCGAGCTAAAAATTTGTAAATTGAAATTTTTTTGAAATCATATCTCGATGAGAGTTTCGTAGCACAAGTCTCCAGCAAAGATTATGTATGTTTTAAAAGAATTTTTTTTGGATGTAAATTTCACGGCGATAGAGCAAAGACGAAATTTTCACATTTGTTTCGCTGTGTTTTCAAAGTACGCAACCACACAACGAACAAATATCTATGAAAACGAAAATATGCCCGAAAAACTAGAAGAAAAGAGCTTTTGGATGATGTAAGCAATGTTTTGTGAAAAATGGTTTCTTCCTCCAAAATCGACAGTTCAAAAAAGGTAGAACTTTTGGAACAACCCAATAAAACGAACTGCGCAAAAGTAGAACTTACACCGCACAATTGCACACATGAAAATAAACTCACGCTGTAAAGGATGCTGCACAAATACGCTAGAGATGTATTATAAAAACTAGTGTTAGGAGCTTATTCGTTGATTATACTACTATAACAGTGAAAGAATAGAAGTATAGAGTGAATTTAGCACGTACTTGGGCATTCTATGATGTGAGTTTGCACAGCGCACGCGTAACTGACGCCTTAACCCTCCAGAGTTAGTTTAACCCTCAGGATTCGTTGATGAATACGGCCACAGGTCTCTAGTTATCAGATGATCGTACTTCTTCAGCATTCGGCAGCAGCAACCATGCCATTCGCATCATTAAGTATTCAGTCTGAGGAATTTGGAAGTCTTGCTCTGATGTGCATTTTGAAGCACGAGTCTACACGAGAACCTAACAAGAATCACGTAAGGTAACGAGAATGTCCCGAATGTTATTAACAATAAGTATTAGCGACTTTTATTTCGCAGTACCCACATACGTATTATTCTCCTGTCATGGACAAGTCGCAGGTTGTCGGTTCAGCCGCCGGGTCACCATTGTCAAAAAAAAGTTTTTCTTACAAAATCTGATAAATATAGCCTTTCCTTCTTGGAGCAGAACTTTCTCAAGAACATAGTAATGTTACGCAAACGTAAAGATTACTATTATTATTTATTACTCTAGCAAAGTTACCATATGAGTATAAAGATACGAAAAGTATTTCAGCACATGTTCCCAACGGGCAATGCTTGGCTTACTTTACATGCTCTCTCTGCCTTTGCTTTACATTGATGAACCAGATATTTTGCATGGTAAGCTTTCCATTAGAAAAGCGTTTGTCAATTATGAATTTTTATTTCAATAACAACGCATAGAAACCGAAGGATGTCTAAAAGGTTTGATCGTTCATTATGCTGAGAGACCCCGCGTATAAAAACCTTCTCACGGTTTAGCATCGTCAAAAATTACTTTTTTTCAGCTTCCGCTGCATCGATTCAATTGCGCTGCTGATTTCTGGTAATCAAGTACCCCGCAGCAATGCTTGCCTTGAGATATTTTGTGATGGTATCTAGTCTCAATTGTTAGCAAAGGTGAACTTGATTTGTTACATTTTTAGTTCATGCTAGCTACTGCAACGTATGCCATGTCACGACAAACCCTCAATAGATTAATGAGTATGGGTTATGGAGGAATGGTTGAAGCATAAAGACTGTCCTGTGCCACAACTAACAATGCCGCGGTGATTTTCCAAACTGCGCAATGAGCTTGATCATTGATAGATAACGTCTCCATTGATGGTAACCTTTGCATTGTTTTGAATAAATAAGTAATTGCAAATAGGTGGCCTTACAATTTCTATGAGATGAATGAAGATGGTGTTGATGTTTACGAACTTAGGCCCGTATGCAAGTACATCCTTCCCGTAGGGCAGAGAGGGGATCTGGGAGAAGACGCGTCATATTTTACTACTCTACTTCACTTTAACTATTTCACTACTATCCGTATCCTTCTTTTTCTGCCTGTGTTATAGCGGTTCTCATATGATGATACCTAAGTATGGCCTAGGCATACCTCACGCGATGTGACCAAATCGCGACGTCCGCTGGCATTCTGCCAGAATTTCGCAGATTCGTCGTGGGTGGTTTTCAAATGCATAGGCGCGCAGCTTTTGTAAGTTCTTGCAAGCGAATCAGGTCCTGTTCAAATAACGATTAATTATGAACAGTCGCTCGTGTGCCTAATCGCACATTGACTGAAATCGCGTGAGTTATGCCTTAGAACTATAATGGATAGCAGAACATTGCCATACAAGCCGAGATTTTCACGGTTTCATGTGATCTCAGGGGCGATCCGCAGGAGATCACCCCTTGATTTCAAAATCGTCTATCTTTCCATGAAGTGATGAAAACGTTGTAAAATTGTACTGAGGATCTACTATGGTACTGCTAGGGTTTTCGACAAAACGGTTGAGTTGTGAGTTTTTCGATGAAAGCTCCCAAACAGCGGTTCATCGAAGATTCAATATCCTGAGATTTCACTATTTTCTAAGATGAACATGTTCAGAAGTGTCATGTATATCCTCGATACAAATTTACAGCATTTTCGTCGATTCTCTCTACTATAATAAAGCGCAAAATGACTGAGCGCAATTCTGTAACATGCCCCCCCCCTCTGCAGCCATGGGACTAGACGTCAACAAGTTTGTCGTTGCGTGCCGGTGCGGGGAGCAGCGTGATGACTCAATCATATTTTTTGCCTGTCTTAGATGGTGTTGATCGACACCCCAAATAAAGTGCAACTATCAGATAGCTAAACCCCGTCAGTGGTAGCATCATCGATTAGAAGCATTCACCCCATACGGCAGATGGGTAGATTGCGACGAGCACATCCAGTCCACCAGATTGCCATTAGAGCACTCTGAAGAAGTAGGGTAAATTCAAATCATTGTAACCTAAATGTCATGAATCTCAGGAAAATTTAGCCGCCTAACTGATTTTCGAAAAAGGCATGAGGGAGGGGGAAGAGATTGAGATTCAGAGGACTATGGAGAGCACTTTGGCTTAGAAAATTGTTTTTGACGCCTGTAGGGGAATTCTGGCCTTTGCCAAAAATGATAGAAATTACGAACTGGGGTTTCCAGCCGAAGAAGCATTCAGAACGGCCAGGAAGAGTTCTTCGCTTTTCGTTAAGGTTACTCAGGCTTAATAGAGTAGAGAAGAGGAAGCTCAAAGGGTAGGGAGTATTTAAACTCCGCCAGGGCTTTTTTCTGCATATCTGATCTGTCACAAACTTTATTCAAATCTTTGAGCTTTACCGACAAAAGCTTGACGCTTTTCTGTGTTTGAAGAGCAGTGGAGAGAATAAAGTAGTGGAATAGCTAAGGAAGAAATTGGAGAGTTAAGGCCACCTCACTCAGGCCTCAACGATACTTCGATCTCTTAAACTCAAAGGTGGGATGACTAGGCACAGTTGAAAGTAGTGGAATAAATGCATGCGGAAATTCTGCGCCCTTTAGAAAAGCCTTTCCAAAAACAGAAGTTTTGCCAAATAAACATTTGACAATAGGGAGTGGGAGATGGGGGAGCCGGAAGGAGTAGGGATTCAGTCAGGCCAAGGGGTTCTTTATTTTCAAGGAGTTGAACGAGCATACTCCCAATTCATTTTAGCTGCTCAAAGGTTCTGCCATTTCAAATACTAAGAAGTTCCTACCATCCGAAGAGCAAGGTGACAAAATCAAATTTTACGTCCTTTCTTGTGACGGCTGCACATGTCGTCTCATGACTGCGATAAGCGAACCCGTCGCCCTGTTGAGAGGTTGTAATTATATTCTACGGAAATGGAATATAAAAAATATGGAAGTTTTGGAAATTATAGAAATTCAAATATTTACGGGATATAACGCACCACTTTTGGCTGAAATGAGACCTTGAAAAACCAGCCTGTATGGCAGTATCCTGTCAACTATCGTACTACTCAAGTATCAGGATATGGTCCGTAGGTAAACCCCTCTTTCCATATGTAACTCGACTGGTGCGGGCCTATGTTGAACGTAGGAAACTACGTTACCACTACCTTCACTGGAATATAGCTCAAATTACATACAGTGACCGCCAAAAAGTTGCGGACAAGCCGTCTTCCTTTTTTCACCTCTCATTTTCGGATGGAAAACAAAGGTGAAAAACTGAATGGATGGAATGGAAATGGAAATTCTCTATTCGGACATACATAATAGGTATGTACACGTTCTACATACAGGGTGTCCCAAAAAATGTGCACACTGTTTGATTGTAAATAACTCTCTTGTAGTGAAGTGTTTCGAGAAGCTTTAGGTACCATTTTGTAGAGCGAGGTTCAACTTAGATTTACAGTGTAGAGCGGATCGCCGATCTCTCATTCTTACTGTAAAATTACGGTAGAAACTTTGGAGAGGGTTTTAAGCTATGAAAGGCCATATTTTGTTTCAAAAAGAAACCAAAGCAACTTGAAAACTCTCACACTGGGCTAACTAAAGTTGCTGATTCTAAATGTGAAGTTCGAACTCTTCGCAGTGCTTCATTGAAAAATTATGCGAGGTAAGCAGTAACACACGTTTTTTAAGTGTTCCTAAAAGTGCGGTTACACCGCTTAGAAAGCTTCTCAACCCTGTAAAGAGTTGGGTATTGAACTCAGAGTCCATAAAAACCCTATTACACAAATTTCCGCTTTTGAAAATTTTTGAAACGGCCGCTTTTTTCACAGTGACGCCACATGTTTGAAGTTTCTACCTTACTTCTACAGTAAGAATGAGCGATCGGCAATTCGCTCTACACTGTGAATCTAAGTTGAACCACCTTCACAAAAGGTACCTAAAGCTTCTCGAAACACTCCACTACAAGAGAGTTATTCACAATCAAACAGTGTGCACATTTTTTTGGGACGCCCTGTACATACATACAGACAGACAGACAAACAGAACTTTTGTGAACTCTCCGATATTTATGCTCTGAATCAAAACATTGGTTTGGTGTTGGTCTACAAACCAACATCGGAAACGGGGTTAAGACGCATAAGCTTTTGAAACTTTTTACATAATGTTGTTTGGAGTAATATGTATATACATAGCCCAAATTCGGCGTCATGTGATTGTTTGTGCGCTGTAAACAAGCCATCTGTTTGTTTGGGCATTACGTTTGAAATTCGCGCGCTTGCCAAAAAACATGTTCAACTCGTAAAACCTGACATATTTGTCATTTTTTTGGTCCTTCGGCCAGGACCTTATAAAACGATATCTCCGTTGCTTCTAACCTCGAAAACGAAGTCCAGTTTGACCCCGAACCATCTGTGCCGAGCCCTGTTACGTACTTTATATCCACTTATCACTAGCATCAAACGAGATATAAATTTCCATCAATTCTTTCCAATCATAATGACACCAGAAGTGCTGCGTCGCAGTGTCCAATTCGACAGCAAGACGTTCCCCTTGTAAAATCTGGTAAGTGCAACGTCTGCTTATTCGATTACTGTGCTTGGCTCTTCCTTTTGCAAAGCCATTATGTGACTCTTAGAATGCAAGACCATTTTAGCATATAAGCCTTTAGTGCGAATTGCATAACCAATTTTTGCTCACTAAGTCTATGTTTTGCTTTGATGGAGATAAGATATTCCGCACTGGTAAACTATTGATAGCAACATGAAAAAGATTGTTTTGCAGCGGCTAACAGATATAGCACACTATTCTTTTGTTATCTCTAAACAAGGCCATTTTAGTCAACTATATTCAATCAATAACGCGAAAGAGCAACATTTCAGGACCCTCTAAAAGGTTTGATCGTTCGTTGTCCAAATTAGTTGATCGTGTGTACGAACCATTAAAACAACTTCGCATATGCACTTTTAAGCTTTCGTTCACTCTTGAGCAAGAATTTTGGATAAGTGTTTTAAAGAGCAGTGCTTCCTTGCAATTTCTTTTCATGTTTAGTTTATCTCATTCAATTATCAGCAACTATGAAAGTCATCCGTAACCATTCTAGATCGTACTGGCCGTCGCAATATACACAAAAGGAGCCCCTCACGCACGTACAACACACTATCGAGTAAGCGGTTGTGCTGCGCTACAACTAACGATACCGCGACATTTTTCCAAAACCGAATGAGCGTGATCATTGATGGAAAAGTCTATATTGTTAGAGGCTTTTGAAACGATTCTTGTAAATAAATGAGTAATAGCACGTCGGTAGCTTCACAAGTACATACGGAATGGGTGAAAATGGTTCTGTACTTGTTATGATTTTACTTTTACAAATCTATCAGCAAATCTATAGCAGGGTGAATCTGCAACCGACATAGAAAATCTTGATGTAGCAGACAAACACCAGCAGCAAAGGAGAAATTGAGCAAGTATTTTTTTCAGTGGATAATAGTTCAGCTAATAGTTGCGCGCTGAACTGCTGGGAAAATATCAACTTAATAAAGACTTATACATGCAAAAACCATAACTAGTCTCTTTTTGAAGACAGCATCGTCAAGACACCGTAGATGATGCGTAGATCTCATTATGATTATAATCCATGTTTTTTTTACAATAAATTACAAAACACGAGAAATACTAACGTCGCTGGTACGAGAACATCAGAAAATGAGCGGCTAATCAGTGTAAATGTTGATACGTAAATTGTACACCGAAAAATCAAAAAATAAAACTCAAACTATTGCATGATGTTGACCTGTAACTTTGCATTCCGTTGTTTATTGTGGGGTCAACTGACTCTACCCTTCGGCTTTTGCTTCGAATTCAAGAGAAGGGTATGCGTCGTGTCGAGGTAATGCGTCAACTTGGTGTAAAACGGTGCACGTGGTGCATAATCAAAAATACACTCCTTGATAGCTTTGATCCGATCCAGGTTAATGTACTCTTCGGCTGCAACCTTATGCAGAAAGTAATTGGCCTCATCAACGGCATATTTTTCGGGCGCCTGTAGGTTTATCCATTCCATGCCGAATTTCAGACTTGAGCAGTTTTTATTAGTTGGTTGCGATATGTGAAGAACGTTATCATCGGTTACTTATTTGATTTTGGGCTCTTGCTCTTCGGAAGATGGTGGAAACTTCTTAGTGTTTGAAATGGCAGAAAATTTGCCCAGCTGGAATGAATTGGGAGCAGGGTCAAGCTTGTGATGCGACTGTCGCAACGGGGGGTCGTAAAGAGGGTACCTAAGGTGGGGGGGGGGGTCGTAAGAGGGGTTAGTCAAGCTAAAATACTTTAAGCTTAAAAGGGAATCAAAAAGCAGATAATTATTTATATTTAACAATAAATCTATAAAAAAGAGGAAATCAGAATAAAAAAGATAAAAAATCTGTAGAAATTCTCAAAAAAATTTCAATTGCTCAAAACACTTTTGAAGGATGTACGATTTGATAAAAATGCTAAATGTACCGATTGCCCTAGAAATCTTGCTTCTGAAGCCTTCCTGAAGTCTCACACGCTCGACTAAATCCTATATCTTTGCCAGCTGTGACGATCATGCATTTCTAAATCTTTTTGTAATTCAGTAATTAGTAAGTGTAATTTAGTTTTTCACGAGCCCATATGATTTATCTGTACTTTGAAGATGCTCTGCTATATCAGTGCGAAATTTGGTGTTGTTTTGTCAACTGTGGGTTTTCTTATGATTCTAAGTATGGTAGCAAAAAATGAGAAAAAGGGGTCGTATCTGCGCCTCATCTAAATTTCTCAGGAGCTGTTGAAGCTTGTTGACTGCAATTCTGCTGTAATATGAGGACATCCTCCTACTTTCCCTCCTAAAAATTGCAGGCTACAACTTCTCTGGTAAGTCAAAAATTTTAAGCTCAAAAATCCCAGTTTTTGCTTCTTACGATCGCATCTAAATTTGCGAAAGTCGCATCTAAATTTTTTCGAGCTTGCTGCTCCTCAAGAGCTGAAACTTTTTCTATGGATAGTCTGGGCACCATGCTACACTACCTATGCTTTCCAGCCTCTCCGTCTTTTCCTGATCTTAGTTACGAATTTTCAAACTACCGTGCTCATGCACGTTTTTGACGTCGTTCTGGACGGCGCTCAAGCGGTTTTATTCGCGGGAAAAACTGCGGAGAAGGTAGGAAGTGAGCTTCTTAGTCGAAAACATTTTTTGTAATTTACGAATGCCATTTTTTTCTCTAAGCAAAAAATTGTGTCGCCTACTGGCATCGAATTTGTTGGTCTGAAGTACGCCTGAAAATTCAAAAAAAAAACATGCAGAATCTCATACATTATTGAAGGTGTGTATGCGTGCTACAGATGCTGGGCGCATCCATTGGCCTAGGAATTCTGCTTCCGGAACGTCACTGAAGTTCTCACGCAGGTGTTTTTGAGAATAACATTCGTTTATGCAGGTTACCGCGTTGAATTTGGGCAGGGGAGGTAAGGGGGATAAATGGGAGAGGGCGGGGGGAGGAGGGGGGCGGTCGTACTGATGGGTACCTTCAGGGGTGGGGTCGTAAATGAGGGTCCCGGATCGCATCAGCACGCTTGACCCTGATTGAGAGTAGGCTCGTTTAACTAAAAGAAAATAAGGAACTCCTTTACCTGACTCAATCCTCCTTCCTTCCGGCTCCCCCATCTCCCACTCCCTATTGTCAAATGTTTATTTGGCAAAACCTCTGTTTTTAAAAAGGCTTCTCTAAAGTGCGTAGAATTTCCGCATGCATTTATTCCACTAATTTCAACTGTGCCAAGTCATCCCACCTTTGAGTTTAAGAGATCGAAGTATCGTTAAAGCCTGAGTGAGGTAGCCTTAACACTCCAATTTCTTCCTTAGCTATTCCACTACTTTATTCTCTCCACTGATCTTCAAACAAAGAAAAGCGTGAAGCTTTTGTCAGTAAAGCTCAAAGATTTGAATAAAGTTTGTGACAGATCAGATATGCAGAAAAAAGCTCTGGCGGAGTGTAAATACTCCCTCCCCTTTGAGCTTCCTCTTCCCTACTCTATTAAGCCTGAGTAACCTTAACGAAAAGCGAAGAACTCTTCCTGGCCGTTCTGAATGCTTCTTCGGCTGGGAACCCCAGTTCGTAATTTCTATCATTTTTGGCAAAGGCCAGAATTCCCCTACAGGCGTCAAAAACAATTTTCTAAGCCAAAGTGTTCTCCATAGTTTTCTGAATCTCAATCTCTTCCCCCTCCCTCATACCTTTTTCGAAAATCAGCCAGGCGGCTAAATTTTCCTGAGATTCTTGACATTTAGGTTACAATGATTTGAATTTACCTTACTTCTTCATGGTGCTCTAATGGCAATCTGGTGGACTGGATGTGCTATGGAGTGAATGCTTCTAATCGATGATGCTACTATTTTGGGGCTTTAGCTATCTGATAATTGCACTTTGTTTGGGGTGTCGATCAACATCATCTAACAAGGGAAGGATGGTCAGTCGAAGTGGTCATTTGCGATGATTTCTATACGATGTTGGAGGGCATAAAACGCTGATTCCAAATCTATCTTCCTTATCTGCGGCACACTCGTGCACGAGAAGTTATGAGCGTTTATTAGAGAAAAAAATTGAATGAGCAGATAACATAAAAACACTAGTAAGATTGTTCCTAGCGCTTAAATGGACTGGTGGTAATTTTTCCAGCACTCTATAAAATATATACTCTTAACTGAGGTAAATCCGCACTCCGGCTTCTCATTTCAAGCGTTGAGAAAATGCTAGCAGCTGTTTTTATCCCCGAAAAACACTCATTTTTTTGCTGCTTCAAAGGCTCATAATTCCTCGTCCAGAAAGGCGCCGCAGATAAGGAAGAGAGATTTGGAATCAGCGTTTTATGCCCTACACCATGGTATACAAGCCGTCTCAAAAGGCCACTTCGGCGAACCATCCTTCCCTTGTAAGACAAGCAAAAAATATGATTGAGTCATCACGCCGCTCCCCTGCACCGGCACGCAACGACAAACTTGTTGACGTCTATTCCCATGGCTGCAGAGGGGGGGGGCATGTTACAGAATTGCGCTCAGTCATCTTGCGCTTCATTATAGTAGAGATAATCGATGAAAATGCTGTAAAATTGTACCGAGGATATACATGGCACTGCTAAACATGTCCATCTTAGAAATTATTAAAATCTCAGGATATCAAATCTCCGATGAACCGCTGCTCGGGAGCTATTCATCGAAAAACTCACAACACAAACGTTTTGTCGAAAACATCCCTAGCAGTACCAAGTAGATTCTCAGTACAATTTTACAAATCTTCATCACTTCCTGGAAAGATAGACGACTTTGAAATCAAGGGGTGATCTCCTACGGATCGCTCCTGAGATCACATGAAACCGTGAAAATCTCGGCTTGTATGGCAATGTTCTGCTATCCATTATAGGTCTAAGGCATAACTCACCCGATTTCAGTCAATGCGCGATTAGGCACACAAGCGACTGTTCGTAATTAGTCGTTCATTTGAACAGGACCTGATTCGCTTGCAAGAACTTTCAAAAGCTGCGCGCCTATGCATTTGAAAAAAACCCACGACGAATCTGCGAAATTTTGGCACGATGCCAGCGGACGTCGCGATTTGGTCAAATCGCGTGAGGTATGCCTTAGGCCATACTTAGGTATCATCATAGGAGAACCTTTATAACACAGGCAGAAAAAGAAGAATACGGATAGTAATAAAATAGTAAAAGTGAAGAAGAGTAGTAAAATATGAAGCGTCTTCTCCCAGGCCCCCTCCCTTCCCTACGGGGAGGATGTACTTGCATACGGACCTAAATGCGTATGCAAGTACATCCTCAAACATCAACACCATCGGGATTCTCAAAGAAATCACGGTATTTTTAGAGTCATTTATCTTCGCAAAATTTCGATAAAAACCTTGTAAAGCTATGCTTTGATCTATTATGACAGCGCCGAGCATTTTTGTGGAAGTAACAAGTGGGAACTAAGTTGACAAAGTCTTCGATGAACCTCTGCTCGCGGGAATTTATCGAAAACTCGCAATTTCCACATTTCATTCGTGCTTCTGGAAACATGCTTAGCACTGTCGTACTAAGTCTTCAGCACAACTTTACGATGTTTTTACTGAATTTGCAGCGATGAATAACTCCGAAAATAAGCCGTGATCCCTTAAGAGTCCCGCTCGAAATCCTACAAGATATCGAAAATCTCAGCTAGTGCAAAGCGCTGCTATTCATTATGCTACATTATTAGGGTAATAGGGCCTCGAAAAGAGGACAAGGAAG